GGAACACCTGTTTCTCCTGAGTTAATGCATGTGTTTTCTCTCTTCTCTTTGGTGTGGCCATCTCTCCTCTGATGTGCAGCTACAGAATTCCCTGAAGACTGATCTGTGTCTTGATCAGGGGCCAGATACAGAGAATGTTCCCATCATGTACATTTGCCATGGGATGACACCTCAGGTGAGTCCTCTAGAGAGCCCTGTGCCAGAGGGTGTAAAGTGGGTGTCTGGTGTGGAGAAGAATGGCTAAATTCTGTGGTGGCTGCCCTCGGGCCAGCAGCTTCTGGTTTCCACCAGGTAGTATTCTCATGAGCATAAGAGGATACCTGTGTTGCCTGGAAGGAGGGTAGGAGGGCGGATGCTTGGGGACCAGGATTCTCTAGCGTAGAGATGAGAACACAAACACAGGTGATAGGTGAATCACAGTCCTTGTTTTGGCAATCAAGCCCCTCCCTAGCAGGAGGGAGCCTGGGCACTTCCCCACAGGCTCCTGATGAGTCCGAGTCTCTCCAGAGTGCCAGTCTCTATCCTAGAGTAGGTCATAACTGGGGCTAAAATTACATTCATGGGACTCCTTTCCAGCTCTTGTGACCTAGTAGTTACCAGGAAAATGGCTTATCCTCAAACATTCCCCTTTAAATGGCTATGCTTCAGATACACAAAGAGGACATCAAGACTCAGACCAGAGAGATGGCTCACTGGATGAATTAGAATAGAGAATCATTTTCCAGTAATGCCTTAAGGTAACCTATTCTGAATTGATGACATTCCCAGAGTTCACCTAACTCTAGAAGAGAACAATGACTTTAAAAGCAATGTTATTGTGTGTGTATGTACTCCTACAATTGCAATTCTGTATTTAAAAGAGTTGCCCCCTACATAACTGAAGACTGTCAAGGCACATGTTGATACCCTGCATATGAACAATGAGACTCCCTAAGTGATCTGCCTTTGGGATCCTACCACCTGGTCTTTCTTGTGGGCTCAGTTGCTGTGACATCACAAATCAATATCCACACACCACCTCATACAGCAACTCACTGTTCACTATATATAGTAAGATGGTGTGACATTTTTAATAGGTGAGTATCTTTATGTAAACTTTTAATAGAGGTACAGCATATTTACAGAAAAAAAGTGAATTATAAGAGTTCAGCCCTAATGAATTTTCACAGAGTGAACACATTTATGTAACCAGCACCCAAATTTTTAAAAAAAATTACTGGATTTTGAATTTTCAGTAAACAATATCTTACGATATGGTTCATACCTTCTTGTACTGGTTCCTGCATTCATGAAATGCATTCTTCCTGTTTCATGTAGTTGTAATTTTCTCATTTCCATTACTGCATACTATTTCATGCTATGAATATACCAAAGTTTACTCTGTGTTCTGCTGTTGATGGGCCCCTGATCTCTTGTGGGTTAGAAGTGCTATAAATACTGCTGCAATGGACATCTTTGCTCATGTCCTGTGGTTCACATATATGTTCATTGCTTTTGGATTTATACCTAAAAGTAGTGTTGGTGTATGTTCATTTTTTAGTGACATTGCCTGTGTGAGTCTATTCAGGCTGAAAAAAACCAAAATATCACAGGTTGGTTGGTTTCAACAACAGAAATTTGTTTTCTCATGGTTTGGAGCCTGGGAAGCTCAAGTTCAAGGTGCCAGCCCATCTGGTTTCTAGTAGAGGCCCTCTTCCTGGCTTGCAGAGGGCCTTCTCTCTATGTGCTCTCAGGACAGGTAGAAAGGGTAGGAATGAGCTTTTTGGGTATGGAATCTTATAAGGATACTAATCCTATCAGATCAGGGCTCCACATTTATGACCTCTCCTAACCTTAACCTGAAGATTTGGAGAAGTTTCAGCCTATCCACTTCACAAACCATGAGCAACCTTGCTCTGAAGAGAACACTAAAGGTGTAGCTCTTGATAGTTCTTGAGTGTGGTTCAGGGACTTAACCCTCTCAGCAGAGGAGAGGAATAGAGATGGGATCTCACCAGCAAATGGCAGCTCCCCACCCTGTCAGTTTGAACCAAAAGAAGCAGGGAAAGTGGGAGGGCATGAGGAAGGCTGTTGGATCCATAGCTCTATCTGGCGGCAAATGTGGACCAGTCTCTCTCAGGGAAAGGGAAGAAAGATGCCAAAGGCCACTGAGATATTGCTAGGGCTGCCACTCCCCCCACAGACCCTCTCTGTAGCCAAGGAGGCAGGATCACCTGCAGGGCTATGGGCATGAGGCTGCTTCTGTTCCCAGGTCCTGGAGGGCAGAGAATTAAGCCAAAGAGGACTATCTTTGGTCCTTAAAAGCGAATGGTGGAAGTGACAGCCAGAGGATGGGAGTGTAGGCAGGCCTCTGTTCAGGCAAGCCCCCTCTGTCCTGGCCCAGAGCCTCATCTTCCTGAGGATTTTGGCTGTGGACAGGGAAAATGTACCAAGGAAGCTCACAGACACGTTTTGGAGATGACAAACTAGAAGACCTTGCAGAAGCAAATCCATTCTGATACACAAAGAGGACATCAAGACACAGACCAGAGAGATGGCTCACTGAATGAATTAGAATAGAGAATCATTGTTCAATAATGCCATAGGGTAACCTATTCTGAATTGATGACATTCCCAGAGTTTACCTAACTCTAGAAGAGAACAATGACTTAAAAGCAGTGTTATTGTGTGTGCATGTACTCCTAAAATTGCAATTCTAAATTTAGAAGAGTTGCCCCTAAATAACTGAAGACTGTCAAGGCACATATTGTTTTTAAAGAGTTTCTGAAAACCAAGAATCTTGATCTGTTGGAAGAGGACACGACCAGACCAATAGCATACCCCCCAGGGACTAGCAACATCCTGGAAGAGGAGGAGGAAGATGAGGGCAATGGGTGGCATGGGGCCTATTTGTCGTATGCTGTGGAGAAGGCTATTCCTCCAGGGCCAGGGCCAGCACATCACCCTGTGGCATGTACCTTTCCTTTTTCCCGGTTGAAGCTCGCAGGGCTCTGTGCCTCTGGAGGCTGAGGGACACAGATGCACGCATCTCTCTGGCGTCTCCAGCAAGGAGTCCTCCTGCAGAGTTTATAACTCCTGGGGAGTCTCTGGGAGACAGATACCTGCGGAGGCTGCAGATAAGTTACAAAGTACTGACAGATGAAAATGCTAAGCTAAGAAGAAAGCTGAATGAGGTTCAGAGCTTCCCTGAACCTCAAACAGAAATGGCAAGGACGCCTGAGCGGAAGATGATCAAGGAGGAGAGGGACCGGCCCGACCTGGAGTCAGTGGTCCAGCAGGTGGAGCAGAACCTGAGCTGATGAAGAAACGGGCTGGAAAGGCACAAAACCACCTCATGAAGCTGAGACAGGAAATCAACTTGCGCCAGGCGCACGTCTCCAACTGCAAGCACGAGAATGAAGCCCTGAGGTCGGGCCAGGGTGCCAGCCTGATGGTGGGAAAGCAGAGCACTGACAAGGCCTTGCGGAATCTCCGTGTTGTCAGGAACAGTTGCACACACCTCCATCAAGCAGCTGGTTTCTGGAGCCGAAACGCTGAATTTTGTTTCTGAAATCCTTAAATCTCGAATATACTTTATATACAACCAGAGACATGAAAAAATGTGCTCTGTATGTGTAATATGAATTGGAATGCATTCCGTTGTCATATATAAAAAAAATCAATAAAAAAGAATAAATAAATAAATAAGCAAAATAAAGATCCATTGACAACTAAAATAAATAAAAAGAATTTCCAAAATAAAAGAGGAAGATGACAAGTCTTAAGGACCTCTGGATGCTTCCAGCTCCCAGCTCCAAGAGCCCTGATCAGCAGTGCTTCATCTGAATGTGCAATTGGGCCCCAAACTACGCAGTCTTCACCCAGAGTATTTACCATGAGATACCAATTTCATGACCTAAAACAGTGTTATTGACCATCTGCAATAGGAGCAGCTCTTGTCCACAATTTGCTTTTGTGGTTTATGTGCAGTCCTTCTTGTGAAATTCTTGCTGTTTTATAGATTCAGTAATCTGTTGGAAGAAATTTTTATAAAATTCAGTGAGGTTTTAAATTATTAAACATGAAAACAGCAGTTCTGTAATAAGTGCCCTTCCATTTTCGTCCCAGAACATTGATAAGTTCAAAAAAAAAAAGGTCCTCCCCCTTCTGTTATTCCAACCTCTAGATTTCAGAAAGGAATTTTATTTATTTCTATACCTGTCCCACCATTGAATTTTTGAAACACACAACTTGTCAGGTTTCATGGGCTCACAGCTGCCTTGGTATGAATTTTACCTCCCAGCCTCACCCATACCTGATTTAGGTGCTGCTTAGATAAGACTTTGGATTTCAGACTCCAAAGTTGAGGCTGGAATGGTTAAGAACTTTGGGGCTGTTGAAGGGGAGTGAATGTATTTCGCATTCCTAAGGGCATGATTTAGGGGGGTCAGGGACAGCATGCTACAATTGTGATCCCTTCTAGATTCATAGGTTGAAATCCTAACCCTGGCAGTATTGGGAGTAAAGAAATAATTAAGGGTGAGTGAGATGGTAAGGGTGGAGCCCTGATCTAATAGGATTGGTGGCCTTATTAGTATAGACACCAGAGGGCTCACTTGCTGGTACTCTCTTACTCTCTTTCTTCCACTTGGAAGACACAGAAATAAAGCAGCTTTCTCAAGCTAGGAAGAGAGCCCTGGCCAGTAACCAAATTGGTGGCATCTTAATCTAGAGCTTCCCAGCCTCCAGAATTGTGAGGAAATGAATTTCTGTTATTTAAACTATTTAGTCTATGGTACTTTGTTATAGTAGCCCAAAATAACAAGTGTATGGCCAAAGAGGCTGCCAGAGTGGAACCAATTTTTGTTCCCACCAGCCGTTTATGAGAGTTCTAGTTGCTCCACATCCTTGGTCAATTTTTGGTATTATCTGTATTTTTAATTGTTCAATTTGGGGTATTATCTGTATTTTTAATTGTTCAATTTGGGGCATTATCTGTATTTTTAATTGTAGCCCTGTGGTGGGTGTCTAGTAGTATCACATTGTGTCTTTACTTACATTTCTCTAATTAGTAGCAAAGCTAAATGCCTATTTTTTAATCTCAAAATATCCCCAGGTTAGATCAAGATGGCCAGGCCACAATAATTTGTTTTTTGTAAATTCCCCCTCTACTTTCTAATCCTCATGATCTTGTCT